GACCTGGACACTGGGGGCATCAGCCTGGGCCTGGACACGCGGGGCCTCTGGGGGCCATCCCGCGCAGGCGTCAGCAAGGTCGAGATCCCGACGCTCCTCATCCGTTTGAAACCTCACCCTTTTAAACGCAAGGGGCCGCTCAGGGCCTTCTACCGCCGTAGGCTGGAGCTCATCGTCGCCCACCACCAGGTCGGCGCCCGAGGGGTCCACAGGACCCTCAGGGGACGGGGTCGAGACTCCAAGCGGCCCGACCTGGCCATCGCCCGCGGCGTCCCCTGACGTTGAGCTCAGGGCCCACAGGGCCGCAGCCTCGGCAACCCTACACGTGCGGGGCCTCAGGGCCCTCGCACCCTTTGGCGGACAAGGCGTAGGCGGGGCAGCGGTCACACGCCCACTTTTGACCACGCCTCCTCACGAGGTGCGGGAACTCCACCACCGTCGGCGGCGTCGGCGCCCCCGCCCGCTGGCCGTCCTCGGCCGCTGCTCGCTTCGCCTCAGCAGCATCCCGCTCCAGGGCCCAGCGCTGTCGCAGCGCTATGGGTCGCCGCCTCGGAATCTCCACGCGGTCGGGCGGCGCGGTGCCGTCGAAAGTGACCCTGGAGGCGTTGGCAATCCAGGAGGCGACTTGCCTCGCTCGCGCCAGGGCCTGCGTATATCCACTGCACCTCGAGGAAGGTCATGAAGGTGTCGGCCTCTCTTGGCTGCTTGGTCCGCCAGGTCGTTGCGCCGCCTCTCCCAAGTGTCCTCGTTCGAGTGCCCCTTGACGTAGGTGGCTCGGACAGGGGGCGGGGTACTGGTATCTGGCGCATGAAGGACTCCATGGTCACCGATGTGGTGCCAGATTTGTCTCCACAGGTCCACATTGTCTCGCCTAGGACTGCAGCGCCAGCGGCGTCCACGGGCCAGGCCGTCGAGCAAGGGCAGGTAATCTGTGTGGATGTGGAGCGGGGCAATCCCAATCGTGAGAACCTGCAGCGCAGCGTGCAGCTCGGCGCGTGCCGAGGTCTGGCGCGGGCCAGGCAATGCGCCAAACACAGCTCCCGAGTAGCTCGCGTCTCCCACAACCACGGAGCCCCAGCCTGCCCGTGCTGCAATATCCCAACGCACTAGCTTCTTGCACGAGCCGTCCGTGAAGATGTAACCCGTGACAACAAATGGCTCAGCACGCGCTCCACGATCGTAGTGCCATGCTCCAGTGTCGCATCTCGGGGGCAGCGCAGGCAGGAAGGAGTTGGGGAAAAAAGCCCCTGGAGTACAGCAGGTCCCCAGGCACCGTGGCCAGGGCAGCGTCCAACGTACCTTCATCTACGGCTCGCTCACGCATGTCATCCAGGGTAGGACAGCACCAGTAGCGACGATGAAGGGTGCCCAGAGCATCCCAACACCGAAGCCAATGTGGGTTCGTTGCGTAGGCGTACTGGTAGAGCCCCTGCTGCGAAAAGTGACCACCCAACAGCGCCGTGCGTAGAGCAGCTCTCGCCAAGGGGTCCAAGGCCCATCTCTTGGCCTTCACTCCCCGCCTGCAACAACCCACGTATAGGTGCTAGCCAGATACCTGCAGGATCTTTGTGAAGCGGCCCAGGTATATCAGGCATAACGTCTGGCCGCTGCGCCCACTGCTCCCAATCAACCACCTCGTAGTCCAGCAGAGCGAGCCACTTGACGACGGAGGGAGCGGTAACCCGAAGGTCGAGCACATCACCAGCGCGAGTCAAAACGCTGTAACACGAGGAACACTTCCAGCCTAGGTGCAGTACCGATCGCGAGAAAGCACCAGCAAGTCCGTTGACGAGCTTCCAGCTCGTGGGGGCGGGTGCAGACGCAATCTGGAAGTAATGCGTCCTCCAGGCAACCTGCATGGCATCAATTGAACATTCCTCAGACTGCATCATGAGCGCCCAATTGTAGATCGGACCGACCACTGCGACACACTCGGGGTGCTGCGATGGGGAGCGGTCCAGCCGCGCAGCTATCCAGTGTGAGCCACCACTCGGTATCGCGTCCCAACCATGCTTCACCATTGCTGTCGTCCTGCGTAGCACGTGCGGGGCCGCCCCTAATATGCTCAGTCCGTAGGTGATGGCAGGGCCGACTGCTGCTCGAGCGACCTTCTTGAACTTTGCCCCGGGCGCCTGCAAACGCTTGAAGTGTCGGGCCCTCTTGCCCACCTTGCCCATGCGCCTCCTCGACGCATGCCCATAGCAAGGTTTGCCTGCACCAACTTCCAGGCCCACCACTTCAAGCCAGGGTTGTGGACGGAAGCCGTACTTCTTCAGTCTCCCTGCCACCATGGTCGGCATCTGCTCGTCGGAACCTGCAAGTAAGGCCTTGGACTTCGCAATTGGGAGACCGAGGTCCGTCAGAGACTCGCACAACAGCTTGATCACGTCGACCGACATCTGCTGGAGAAACTTGAGCTGCGCCTCGGCCTGCAGGGTGAGGTCGCCAGCGAAGACGTCCAGCGACGACGAGAAACCTGCACCACGGTTGCCTTGGAGGGGGTGTACTGCGGCTACAAAATCGTCCATGGCAGATAGCATGAGGAGCTGAACAAGGGCCATGGCGTATTTGCACCCAGGCATCACGCCTTGGTCCACCGCAACTGAGTAAGAGGTGGCCTGCAGCCACACCAGCCTCCGTGGCGCACGATACATGGCCAACGCGCATGACAGTAGCTGCCGAGGAAAGGCGTGCTTCTTGGCTGTCTGAACAAGGCGACGCCAGCAAATGCGATCGAAGCACTTCTCGATGTCCACGATGGCTGTGATGACCCCTCTGTCGGAGGCCAAGGCCGCCTCAGCGCGAAGGAGGGCGCGAGCAGCCACATCCTGAGTAGTCTTGCCAGCCGCCAAGGCAGAGTAGGGCCGATCGTGATCTTGAAGCCATTGCCGAAGCTGGACGCTCCGCACTTGCGTCCAAACCCGATACACCGCCTGCAGCAGCGCAATGGGTCGCCATCCTCCCTTGGGCTTGGCCAGGAGCACAATGTGGACGGCCGTGAGCTGGGTCGGCCAGCGCTCCCAGTGCTCGGCCAGCCACATGCTGTAGATCAGCAGGGCAAGGGTAGGGCCACTGAGGAGGCTCAAAGACCTGGGGGCCAGCTTGTCCGCGCCCTGGCCCGTGTGCCACTTGAACTGCTTCGCGGCCCGCCGCACCTCGACGATCTTAGGGGCGGGAAGGGCAGCTTTCGGGAGGCTCTGCAAAGCCTCCCGCAGGTCGGCCGTGTCGTCGAAATCTTCGATGTGCTGCATCTGATAATCGTCCAGACCTTGCCCAGCACCATTCACCTGCGCAAGCGTCGGGGGCCGTGACACCGCCGTAGCGCGCCAGATGTTGGCCCATCGGTCCATCTGGTCATCCGCAATGTGCTGCGCCGAAGATGTAGAACCACCGTGGCGATGGGCCTGAGCACGCGGCACTCCTGCGGGCTTGGTGAAAGAGAATAACGGCTTGATGCGACCCGCCTCGCAGTTAGCAGCCCAAGTGGCGAACGCCCTTCTCCTGTCACGCATAGCTGCCGTCTCCAGCTCCTCGGCGTACACCCCAAGCCATGCGACCGCGGCGCGCGCGGCATCACAAGCAGCATCGCAAAGGTCGGCCGAAGAAACATGTGGACAGCACTCAGCGGAGTAGGAGGCCCCGCCAGGAGGGAAAAGGCCACCAGCCTCGCAATCGATGTCCATGTGCCGCGCGCCACTCACACTTCCCACGTCCGTAGACTGGCCTCCCAACTGTCCCGACTCCGTCCCGCTCATGGGTCTGTGTCGGTCCAGGGGCTCTGTGGGCGGGGCGGCGCGCGGCCTTGAAGGAGAAGACGAGGGCCTCGTCGATGTAGACAACGAGGCCGATGACGCCAAAGTAGCTGGCGGTGCCGAAGGGGAGGCCCGAGGGTAGGAGGGCGTGACGGCGTCGGCCCCAGGTGCTGCAGCGCCAGGACGACCACAACAATCACGATTACCGATGAGAACCTCAGGAGCAACAAAGGAAAAAGGCTACCTCGCCAACCCCAGGTGCTAGAGCGCCAGGACGGCCAGCGGGTAGGGACGTGCAGGGCACATCGCCAGAGCCAAGCTTTCGCCTCTTAAGCGAAGGAGAAGACGAGGGCCTCGTCGACGTAGATACTGAGGCCGATGAAGTCAAAATGACTGGTGGTGCCGAGGGAGGGGCCCGAGGGTAGGAGGGCGCGACGACGGCGGCCCCAGGTACTGCTGCGCCAGGGCGACCACAACCATCACGATGCCAGTAGAAAGCCTCAGGAGCACCAGGAGAAGGGGAGACCGCGCCAACCCCAGGTGCTAGTGCGCCAGGACGGCCAGCGGGTAGGTCGGTGCAGGACCCCTCGCCAGAGCCAAGCTTACGCCTCTTGACCACAGGAGTAGACGCGGATGCCGTATTCGACGCAGCCGCTGACGTCGACGTCACCACAGTGGATGAGGCCCTGGAGAATGGGAATGGGGAGGTGATCACGGCGGCCCCTGGTGCTGCTGCGCCAGGACGGGGGGCGTAATCGCGATTACTCAACTTTAGCACGCTGGGGGGGCTCTCGCTGTCGCTGCCAGTCCCAACGGCCTCCACTGTAACCCCAGGAGATAGAACAGAGATAGGATCGGCATCAGCCCCAGGACGACCAAAAACAGAGGGAAGAGACGGTGAGCTCGCCGTAGTCGCACCATAGGCCGTAGACCGCTGGTCAAGGAGCCAGCGGCCGGAGGCAACCACGATGTCACGCACCACGGGGAATAGAGCACGCAGAATCCGCACAACCTTCTGGCAGTCGGTCCCCAGGTATGCCCGCTCCGCCGCAGGCGACACCAATCTTTCCAATCGCCGAAGGAGCCGGTCATCATCATGATCCCCTCGAAGGAGGTCGTCAGCAGCCTGAGCCAGGCGCCGAGCCCGTCGTGCATCAGGAACCGCTGCAGGGTGCGGTCCAGTAGGAGCACCGCCAGCTTGCCTCCACGCGTAGTCGACCTTGGCAGCGCGGCCACGGTAGAGGTCGCCGTCCGTGTCGATGCAGTACCTCGCGAGCAGCTCGTCCTCCGCGGCGTCCATGAAGGTGGCGTAGAGGGAGTCCAAACGAACCTGCGCCTGCACAGCAGTGGCCTCCCCTCCCCGTGCCGCGTCTGCCTCGATGGTGCCCTGGTGGTCGACTGCCGCCACAGGAATGCCGTCTTCGTCGGGCGCTGCCTTCGGGAAAGCCTTGGGGCCCGACAGCGCCGGGAACTTGACGGCCATGGCGCGCGCATCGAGAGACACCTGCATGGGGTAGTGGGGCGCCGCAGGCCACCCTGGAACTGGCCTCGGCTGCGAGGGCGACCCAGCCAGCGACAGACTGGAGAGCCACTAGTCGATGTTGGAGTAGCTCCCTTTCGCGCTCCTGCATGTGCCTCCAGACACACGAGCAACCGTGGCGGCTGGGATGTAGCCCAAGAAACCATCAGCACCCAGAGCGGACGGTTCGCAGTTGAAATCAGCTGCCAAGATGAAAGGCCTGTTCCACCAGCGCAGCGCCGTGGCAATGTCGAAGAGGCGCGCCGCATTGACCCCAGCAGCCCACTTTCCCACTTCGAAGTAGGCAGCAACCAATACCAACCCTCCTCTGATGCCGAAGTCGGCGTGGCAGGCGACAGCAAAACTCGGTAGTAAGTCGAAAGAGTCTGGGACAACCGAAGTGCCAGGCATGGCCGTCACGCTGATGTGGCGTCTGATGAAGAGTCCGACCCCAGCGGGCGGCCGCCCAGACTCAAGTCGCCGACAAGGTGTGATGATAGCGCGCCACCCGCCACGAGCTGCCCATCCCTGCGCACGCCGAAGCTCATCTCCATCAACACGAAGCTCCTGCGCCGCGACAGCCTTCACCGAGGGGTCGCATTTCTCCAAAAACTCACGGCGCGTCCCCCACGACGAACTGTTGTAGGTGACCAGCACCACGTTCTTCCTGGCTGCGCGGCGTCTGCCCCGCTGCTCACATCTGGCCTGCGTTCTCCCAAGCTGCAGCTGCCGCTCCTGAGGGACGAAAAGCGGCTGACACTTTGGCTGCAGGCGCAAGGGGGGCCGCAGGAACCGCTGCCTGGGCGGGGGCGGCGGCCGCTGGTGCTGCGGAGGTCGCGGAGGTGGCCTCCGCGTGCTGGCCAGCAGCGTCGGGTGCCACCCCTGTGGCTGCGGCCTGCAGGGCCTGCGCAGCAGGGAAGGCCATGCCCATGGCCTGGACCTGCGCGTTGATCGACTCGAGGAGCGCGATCCCCTGGCCGTTCTGCACCTGGGTGGGGGCCACGCTGAGCAACGTCTGCAGGCCGCACAGCGTGGTGGCCAAGCCCTGCAGGTCCACTCCGCTGGGGCCCGCCGCAACCGCTGCCACGGCGCGAGTGGCCTGGGCGGCCTCCTGCTCCAACACTTCGATCTCGCCGTCGATCGTGGTCTGCAGCTTGTGCAAAGTGGCGACGCGCTCCTCAGCCTCGATGAGGTGGGTACCCGACTTGGCCCGTCGCTCTCGAGCATCCGTGAGCTTGGCCTGCAGCTCGCGGAGGACGACGTCGGGCGGCTGCGCCTGCCTCTCAGCGATCTCCAGGTCGGCGAGTTCGGCCTTGGCGGCGACGATGAGGGGGTGGTCATCGGCGTACTGCAGCCCTTGCAGCGCCTTGAGCCCTTGTCTTGCCCGATCCACCGCTGTGGTGGCCGTGCCAGCGGGCCGAGGGCCACCAGCAGCACGATCGCCAGGAGCGCCCGAGCGGCGGCGCCTCCGAGCAGAAGTCGACCGCGGCGGGTGGCCTCCATCACTGCCAGGCGGCGCCTCGGCGGGTGGGGTGCGGCCAGCACGGTCTCGGCCACACTTCCGAAGTTGGTCCTGAAGCCACATGCCCGCGTGGCCACGCAGGCTCACTGGGGCTCGGCGGCGCCGCCTGGCGCGGCTCGCCACGGCGGCGTGGCCATGGGACCTGCCGGCGGACAGTCGCCGTGATGGCCCGACAGCAGCGCCCTGGCGGCGGCGAGGCGCAGCAGCCGCCGAGCGCTGGCTCGACGCCGCCGCAGCCGCCTATGCCAGGCAGGTGAGGGCGGCCGCTCACGGCGCACTCCGCCGCCGCCGCCGCCGCCGCTCGTGATTGCACCTCGCGCGCCCGAGGGGGGCGGGAGGCTGGGGGCTCGCGCGCACGGGCCGCCCCTGGCCCGCAGCGAGCCACCTGGGGGGAGGAGGAGGGAAGGAGGAGGAGGAGGAGGAGGAGGAGGAGGAGGAGGAGGAGGAGGAGGAGGAGGGAGGAGGAGGAGGAGGAGGAGGCCTTTCTGGCGACGGGCCGCGGCGGGGAGCGGCCGCAGCGCGCCTGCCGGATGTAGAAGTCGAGGTCCTGCCGGGGGGCGACCCGTGCCGCGCCGCCGGCGTGCGGCTCTCCCCAGGGGCTCGGTGTGTGCGCGTGCTCCGCCTGCCGCCTCCCCCTCGGGTTGCCTGGCCCCTCCCACGCGCCCCACCTCCACCTCTCTCTCTCTCTCTCTCTCTCTCTCTCTCTATATATATATATATATATATATATATATATATATATAGATTTGTGTGTGTGTAGAGAGAGAGAGAGAGAGAGAGAAAGAGAGAGAGAGAAGGGGAGAGAGACAGAAATCTTTAAGTGCACACTTAATGTATCCGCCGCCCCTTGTTGGCTTGCCACAAGGGGCTCGGCGTGCTTGATGTTCTGAACAACAATTTTTGGTCTTTTAAGATCTCCCCTCTGGGGCTTCGGCATAATGTGCTGGCCACGCTGTAAAGGGTGGTTGCCAAGGTTTTTCCTGCTTCAGATGGCTCCAAGCAGGCCCATGATGGTCTCCAAAACGGCCAAGATGGCCCCCAAGTTCGCCCAAGATGGTCCAAGATGGCCTCCAAGACGGCCCAACAGGGCCAAAGATGCCTCCGAGTCCGCCCAAGAAGCATCACATACGGCTCAAGACGGCCCAAGTCCTCCAAGAGGCCTTGAACATCTCCTTTTTTCCGGCCTTCCGACGGCCCAAGACGGCCTCAGAGCGTCCGAGAGGCCTCTAAGATGGCCCCATGATGGCCCGACTGGCCCCCAAGACGGCCCCAAGAGGCCTTCAAGACTTCCAAGATTATCTCCAAGACGGCCTTTAAGTTCCCCGGAGTGCCCCAAGGTTCAAAGAGGCATTCACGACGAATTCCGACGCCGTGAAACGGGCCAGGAGGCCTCCACGAAGCTCAAGGGGCTCCCAAGAAGTGTCCACAACGTCTCAAGAAACTCCGAGGATGCCCCAACAGTGGCCCAAGAGGGGGCCCGAACCGGCCCAAATCATTGATTTTCCAAAAAGGTTTTTGAAGGAGGTTGGCATTCTCTTCTTGTCGGCCTTCCCACAGCTGGATCTGGAATCTGCCTTTCTCTCTCTATCTATTGCCCCCTCTCTTCCTCCCAGACACCCAACACAACTTCTGTGAAAACACATGGTTTGCGGTGTCAGGGGTGCGGAGACCCTGTTTTTTTGTGTTTGATTCCTGGGATGGGGGGAAGTGGGGAGAAGCCATGTTCTTTCATTCGGATCTTCTTTTTTGGGGGGGATTCCCCCCCCTCCAGCGAACATCAAACCCAGCAGCCCCCCTAAGAACTCCGACCCCCTGAACCCCAGACACCAAACACATCCAAATTAAAACACATGGTTTCCTGATCTCCCATCCAAAATATCCCGGCAATCCCCTATGAAAGCACATGGTTTCCGCACCCTGACATCGCAAACCTTGTGTTTCCATGCGGTCTTTTGGGATGTCTGGCATGGCTTGTGAGGAAAGCGTGTGTTTTCATTCGGATCTTTTTGTTTGAGTTTTCGAATTCTGCGGATTGCAGCTCCTGGGAGGGCTCCGATTTTACTTCCGCTGGAGGGAGGAACATCCACCACATCCATAGAATCCGAATAGACACACACGGTTTCCTCACTTCTCATCCCAGAAATCCCGAAACATCCCAATGAAAGCACAAGGTTGCCGCACCCTTGACATCGCAAACCTGGTGTTTTCACAGAGATTGTGTTGGGTGTCTGGGAAGGGGATAGAGAGAACGAGAGAGAGAGATATTAATATACATAAAGAGGGAGAGAGATATATATAGAGAGAGAGAGAGAGAGAGAGAGAGAGAGAAAGAGAGAGAGAGAGAGGGAGAGATAGAGAGAGAGAGAGAGAGAGACATTGAGAGAGAGAGAGAGAGAGAGACAGAGAGAGAGAGAGAGAGAGACAGAGGCGGAGAGACAGAGAAGGAACGAGGCGAGGAGGAGGAAAGGAAGAACACCACCGTCGTAAGTGAATGCTGGTAAGAATTGGTGCTGGGGGGGGCAATCCATACGTTCATATTTCAATACGGACTCATCAAGAATAACTCCTGTCTGCTTACCAAGTTTCGCAAAATGGCAATTCGTTTCTCCAACTCTCATCATACCTCTGCTGTCTATTTGTCCCTTCGCAGATCGTCGTCGCTACCGTCTCCCTCCCTTCCCTCCTTCCTTCCCCTCCTCCCCCATTCCCTCTCCCTTCACCCTCTCGCCCTCCTTCCCTACCACCCACTCCCCATTTTCCTTGTCTGGTACACACGTTAATTATATGTGTATGCTCTCTCACCTCTCTGCTGTCTCCCTCTCACCGCTCCTCCTTCCGTGGCGTCGACCTCCTAAGCCTCACAGAAAATCTCCTGCGCCTTAGACCTTAACATCGCTTCCCCCTGCAGCGTTCATGTCCGCTACTGCACTCTGCGTCGGTGAGCGTGGGCCGCGCCCCACTGACCCTTCACGAAACAATTATCACCCCACCCCAAAAAGCGGATAACAAGAAACTTTCAACTTTATGATCGCCACCGTGCTGTGGGTCCCCTCCCACAAGAGCTGCCCATTTTACACCGTCCAGGCAAGCTCGCTGAGCGAGTCAGCCTCCCTGGCTGCCCCCTTTCTCTCCGGAGCAAGGTCCCTGTCTTCGAGAAAAGCAAAACGCCATACGCCATAAATATAAACCTCTGGCGCTCCGCGCGGA